TACAATTAATCCAACAACTTTCTACTCCTTCCTTTCTCCAAACTGGCTCATTTCTTCTCTCCATATTGATAACGACATGACGTAAGAGCTGCAACAAAACAGGGAAAATCAGGAAGAGAATCTGTCCAGTTGGAGCCCAGTTAGTTTGTAGAAAAACACTGATAGAGACATGGATGAAGACAGGAGGCTGGAGACATTGATGGATCAGATTGTGAGACGCAGACATTCCCCATCCATTCCCCCTTTATTAGGGAGGAAATGTCCATGTTGATTCTGTTTGCAGCTTTAATGTTGTGAATAGCAGAACTCTAAAATGATTCAGCTGCTGATGAAGGACTTCTGTTTACTTCAATCTATATCATCCTGTCTGAAATTAGAATCTAGAATCAAACTAGACCCATTTTTATGTTCTCTCTACCAACACAGGGAGAAAAGAAGCTAAATTAATCTGTTTTCTCAGCAGAAAAAACTCTTTGAAGAATTAAGTTTTTAAAAGTTATTTTATCTTTTGAGGCAAAACCTTATTTTTGATTTGATAGAAGCTGAACTTTTTTTCCTTTGTCTTCAGTAAATGAGTTCAATCAGTTTTTCCTTACAGGTCTCTGTACTTTTACTTCAGTGAAGAAGGTGAACATTTCTGACACCTCTGGATCCTGAGAGTTTTGTTCCCGTAGTTTCTAGTGACTCCTCTGGGCTTTATCTCCATCTCAGTATGGTAGCAGCTGCGTACCGGTGTTATACTATATTCAGTGACCTTGGCCAAAGAGAGAATGTGTTCAGTGATGCTGTATGACTGGGCCAGCACAGTGTCAGTGAGGAAAATAACCAATGGTTCTTGGACTAGTATTTATCAGGGGCCGGGGTCACATATTCTGCTGGAATGTTTTAATGGAAAGTTTTAATCTGCATCCTGTTCAATTCAGCTAAAAACTTTTGTTATTTATTCAGATTGTGGGACTGCAATTTGTCAGAGACCAGCTGGAATTCTCTGTTCTCAGCTCTGAAGTCTAATCCATCCCATCTCACAGAACTGAACCTGCTAAGAACCAACCTGGACTCTGGATTGAAGGAGCTCAGTGGGTTTCTCCAGTCTCCCCTCTGCAAACTACAGACATTGAGGTCAGATATAGTATATTTGTTTATTCTAATAACATTACAGTGCAAATCTTAGTATAAAGGTAAATCAGTGAGCTAGTCAAGGATCAATAGGCTTTAGTTAGAGCAGTGTGCTTGTGCTCTAATAAGGTAGAAAGTTCCTGGTTCAATCCCCACAGCCTCCACTCTGGGTTCCTGAGCAAAACCCTTAACCTCACACTGCTGTCCAGCCGCCACACAATAGCAGCCCACTGCTCTCCAGGGAGATTGATTAAATACAGAGAGTGAATTTCCCCATTGTAGGACTTTAAAGGGACTTATTTTGTTAATTCAGCATCAGAAGATGCTGAATGAACACATGTGTAACAACTGGGAGGAAAGTATAAAATGGAGAATTATCAGCCAAACTGTTAAATCAGATGATTTTTTTAATGCCGATGAATCATCAAATGCAGGCAAATTTATTAAGTCACTTCTGCGACACTGTGTTGATGATTTGGGTAAAATGCTGACTCAGCATCTGGTCTTCAACAAGGTTAACATTACAAATACAGTCACTTTCACAGGTTGAATAGATGTAATATAAACCTACACAGAAAGTATTATAGGTTTTCATTTGAATGATAAATAGCTGGAAAAGTTGAGTTTGAACATATTAAAGGAAAAATTTGTTTTAAACCACTTCCTCATTGTCTTCAGTATCTCAGTTGTGCAGTTTGTCTATTTTCCCCTTTTATTGATTATAACATTTTATTTATAAAAACTTTCAGATCATCCTATGGATAACCATGGTACCGAATAACATAATAAAAACACTAATAACAGCAAATCATTAGAACTTGCACTGACTTGGATTGACATAAAAGACAGAAATGAATGAAAGGATGAGGTTGTGTTTGGTGTCATATGTTCATGGGATTGATTTCTATTGAATGAGACTGGGAGCCAGTGGAGTTAATGAACAGCTGGGAGTTGGGTGATGGAATGATTCGGCCATTGTGGGCCCCAGGTGAACTTTAATCAAGGGCCCTCCACTAAGTCAGTGACTCTTTTTGAGTCATGATCCTAATTTTACATAAACTGCTGTCTATGAAAACTAAAACTAAAAAGAGGCTCCAGAAAAAGACAAGACACAAAGCTGAAGTAGGTCAGACAGAAGAGGCTGCAGGACACGGAGAAAAAAGCTCCTCCAAGAAGGTTCTGGGTTTGATTCCCAGCCCGGGGTCTTTCTGCATAGAGTTTGCATGTTCTCCCTGAGCATGCGTGGTTTCTCTCCGGGTACTCCGGCTTCCTCCCACAGTCTAAAAACATGACTATTGGGTTAATTCACTTCTCTAAATCCTCCATAGGTGTGAGTGTGTGTGCGTTAATGGTTGTTTGTCCTGTTTGTCACTGTGTTGCGACCTGGCGACCTGTCCAGGGTGGATCCCACCTCTCGCCCATAGACAGATGGAGATAGGAACCAGCACCCTTGTGACCCCACTTGTGATTAAGGATGTTAGAAGATGGATGGATGAATGGATGAATCTCTTTCAAATGGTCAAATCCTAAAACCTCGTTTGAGGATTTTATTCCTGATAAGAGATTTCCAAAACTTGAGATAAACATTGATTGAGCTGTAATCAAGTGCTTATGCATTCCCACTTATTGTTTTTTACTTTTTATTTTTCTGACTCTAACTAGTCCCGCAGTTTTCAACCGATTTCAACAATGTTGGTATCAAAACGTTCAGCTTGTTTAGGAGAATCCTGCTATATCTTTTGGTAAAGGTATTTTTTGTAGTTTTCACGATATGCAGCTTTTTCTGCGTTTTTTATCCCATTGAAATGCATGTAGAATTCTTACATTTCAGCGAAATTCCACTAAAACTTCAGCTACTTTGCCCTTTAACTACTTTAGCATACTTTTAGCTAGAAACACCATTCAACTTTTAAAATGTTTCCGTATCTTTCTGCTATTACTGTTTAACTCTGCTTTTTGCTAACTTTTACAGTTTTGTTTCAGTGAAGCTTCAAACTTTTAAAGTATTTTTAAAGATTTTCAAATTTATAATGGAAGTCTATGGACGGAATGTTAAACTGCTAGAGTGTGCCACTCTAGCGTTTTCAAACATTTCACTCATGCCAAACAGCTTTAACTCACTCACTCATTTTTTACTCTATCTTGAAAAAATTAACATCAAAACGTAGGGATTTTTTGTCAGGATTCAGGGAATGTAACCCTAATTGGTGTGTGATTTACACTTTTCCGTCAATCTGGCCCAGAGCACGGAAAAGTCCACACTTCCTCAATAGAAATCCTATGGGAGCTCTCTGAAAATCAGAACTGAAAATTCAAAAAAACAGACTTTTTCGTAGCGCTCCCATTTGGGAACCGTTCGACGTAGCATCATGAGTCTTGTGGAAGTTGTTCCTCATATTGAAGGAAGTGTGTCGATATCTTTTATCGTTTAGCTAGGAAAAAGGTTTGTTCGGGGGTAACAAATCTGTCCAAACCCCCAAATCAAGATTTTTACAATTATACACTTTTTTACATCATCACCATGCCTAGACCAATTATTGTAGAAATAGGAAAGTAACACCAGTTGTAGTCCAAAGATTGCTAATGCTCACGGTGAAAGAGTTTTTTGAATAGCTTATACGGTTTTGGCTCAACACTCGTGTGTTCGGAGGGGTTTTTTAGCAGCTGAAAGGTCAGGGAGTCTGAGGTGCTGCATGGAAATCAATGAGAGGAGCACGTGGGACAAACCATTTTGTTTGTCTTTCGGTTAGGGTTGTGAAAGACCTACAGACATGAAAGTTACCCCATTCTGAGACAAAGGATAGATGTCGCTTAGACTAAAAGAATTTTTTAGATACCATTTACGGTTTGCCTTCAGCACTCATCTGTTTGGAGGGGGTTTTTAGCAGCTGAAAACTCAGTGAAGCTGAGGTGCTGCAGCTAATCCAATAAGAGGATCTGGTGCGACAAACCATTTTATTTCTCCTTCCCATTAAGCTTGTGAATGAGCTAGAGCCATGAAAGTTACCCCAGTCTGAGACAAAGGATAGATGTCGCTTAGATTACAAGAATTTTTTAGATACCATTTACGGTTTGCCTTCAGCACTCATCTGTTTGGAGGGTGTTTTTATCAGCTGAAAACTCAGTGAAGCTGAGGTGCTGCAGCTAATCCAATGAGAGGATCTGGTCGGACAAACCATTTTATTTCTCCTTCCCATTAAGGTTGTGAATGAGCTAGAGCCATGAAAGCTACCCCAGTCTGAGACAAAGGATAGCTGTCGCTTAGACTGAAAGAATTTTTTAGATACCATTTACAGTTTGTGTTCAGCGCTCGTTTCTTCGGAGGTGATTTTCCCATTCAAAAAACCCTGAGAAGAAAGGAACGAAAGTGCAGCGCATGTCTCTCTCTCTCTCACTGACAGGCTCGTTAAGCGTCGTCAAGGTAACCAAGCTTCAAAGGGTTTTTACCTCTGCCACTTTAAACAGCACATTTTAATCTAATGGAGGGAGAAAACACTGATTTAACATTTGGAAATAGATACTATGGCTGCGTCTCAATTCGCAGGCTGCGTACTTGGGAGGACGCATTTTGAGGCCGGTGACGTCACAACGCTCCACGGAGGCCGTCCCATTTGGCAAAAATTCTGAGGACACTTAAAATGCAGCCTCAAAATGCGTCCTCCTTTTCCCCGAATTCTGAGGATGCATCGCTACCGTCCTTAGTGGCCTCGCCTCCCACTAGATTTCCCGAGGTGCTTTGCGCGCTTCTTTGTTTTTTGTTTTTTTTTTTGTTTTAGTAGTTGAAGAAGAAAAAGAAGAAGAAAGTCGGATTTTATTCAAGTTACTGACAACCGAAAGCAGCAGCAGCGCCGGCAGTAGTGCGGAGAACACCTTTAAATGTAAGTAGTTTGTTTTTGTTTTTTTTAAATGAACATCTATGAAAATACACGACGGTAACAGAGCCACCGGAATGTGTAGGACCAGCTAAAGCTAAAGCTTAGAGCTAACCTGTTGATACGAGATGCTCATCAACATTAAAAGCCTTCATACAAATATCACTATTTTTTATTTTAACCTACATCTTACTGTACTGATAGCCGTATCCCTCACTAAACGGATCTATTTGTTCTCATACAGTTTATTACAAAGGATTAGAACTGTCAAAGCTTAATGCAGCTGAAGAAATAACATTCGTCCAGCTGTACTGGGCTGTTAATACTGTGGTTCAATTCATTGCCTGTTTTATTTACAAAAAGAAAAAAATTTTAATAATAATGTTAAAAAATAAAAACCCACAGAAAAGGACTAGTTTTTAGAAAGGTCCCTTCATTGGACATTTCTTTATCTCTTTATTAAATGTTCCTCCTATGGAAACAGGTTTGATGCAGGACAACTTAGAGAACACTATAGGACCCAAAGGGGCCCTGGATAATGTT